TTTAAATAATATTTTTAAATATAATAAATATTATAATTTTATTACAATAGATATAAAGTAGCTATATTTTTGAAATTTCATTTCAGTCATTATTGAAATTTATATAAAAAAAATTATTTTGTTTAATTTATTAAAAAATATCAGTACTTTACATATAAAATTCATTGATCATCTAATTTTTAATTTATATATTATACAAGCTTATAATTTTACGCATGATCAATATTAGTATTGTACTTGAATTTTAAAAAATTTTAATAGGTATTATTAATTAACTTTAAAAATTATGAGGGGTCAGATATTTATAACCACTACTGTAGATTAGATAAAGTAAATTATTAAATGAATTTTTTTTTATTATATATAATTTTTAGTAAAATTTTTTTTTGTAATTAACTATAGTTTTTAAATTATATAAATTTTATCAATTTTTAATTTGTATTTTATAATTAATTATAAATAATTCTTTAAATATTTTATTTATACTTATTTTATTTTTAAACAGTTACTTTATTTAAATATATTATTATTTTACTTTATTTTGAGAATATATTTTACTTTTAAAATACTTTATTTTTAAGTATGTATTTCATTTTAACTATCTCTTAAATATTCTCTATCTTTGAATATATTTATTATTAAATTATATTTTATTTTAATATATTAATTTTAATTAATTAATTATTTAAAAATCTTTGAATTTACAAATTCTTTAAATAAAAATAGACAGTATAATCAAAAAAAATAACGTAATTGAATTGCAACTTATAACGCAATTAAATTTCTTATGATGTAATTAAGTTATAATACAATTGAAATTTGAAAATAATTATAAGGATCTTTAACTTTAGAGATTCTTTATATTTTTTATCTTAAATTCAATTTATTAATGAATATTAAAAAATACAATAATTTATTGAACTAAATTAAAATATAAATTAATGTAGAAAAATAATTACATAAAATATTAATTAAATTATAAAAAATTTTACATTAATATAAGTTTTTTAAATAAATAAAAAATTTTACATTTTAAAATTTATATTTACTATTTTTTTACTAAAGACTGTATAACTTTCTAGGATTAATAGTTAATGAGATATTTCATGTAAAAGAATTAATAGATAATATTACAGATTATTATCAAAAAGGTCATTAAAACTATGAAAATAACAGAAACAGTTATAATGTTATTAATAAAATTACATATAATAATTAATTTATTTAGTTTAATTTATTAATAAAGTTTATAATATTTTTATAATTTTGTAAATTATATTTTATCTTTAATTAGTAAAAGAAATAGATTAATAATTCTATATAAATAAGTTAAAATTTTTTTTAGAATTAAGTTAGAAAATTAATTTTAGAATAAGTTAAATAAATTAAATATTGAACAATTTAATTTAAATATAAATATATTTGCATATTATAGAATACTAATTGAAGCAATACTCATTTGTTATTCTTATTAATAAACTATCTAATGTTAACACATCTTTTAAAATTAATTATAAAATTAAGTTTTTGCTTACCTCTATTTTATTAAACGCTTATAACAAATAAATATCTTAAAGAACTGACTATAATAATATATAAAAATCTTAAAATAATTATAATTTTATGATAATTGTTTTAATTAATTATTAATTTTTATTTTATTAAATATAAAATTAAAATAGTTAAAATAAATTAATAGTAGATAAAAATTAATATATTAATTTTAATAATGTTATTTAAAATACTAAACCTAATAAAACTAATTTTTTATAAATAAATTATATGATAAAACTTATAAAATTCAAAATCTAAAATACCAGTTTAAAATAATGAAAAAGTTTTTAATAAATATCATAACTAATTTATTATGATATATTTTCTTTATAGAATTTATTTTATATAAATTATCTTTATATAACATCTATATATCTATTAAATAATATTAAATTTGTTTTATAATTTAATAAAGGAACTATAATCACTACTTTTAGTTATATTTAAAATTTGCTTATAAAAATGTTATTATGTTATTATATTATAAAAATATTAATTGTAAAATTAAAATTGTTAATATTTATAACTAATAATAAAATTTCTTATATATGGAATCTTTGCAATAGAAAAGAAAAAAATAGCCAGAAAAATAAAAAATGAGTAAATGTTAAATCTGAACTTTTTAACCTAAAAATCTTATTTGACATATAAAAGTAAAATTGATTTTTTCCGCAATGATCCAATTTCTTATCTCTGAAGTATAAAAAAGATTAATACTGTAAGGATACAGAAGTTACTCAGTTACTCAGATGACATCACATCCTAACTAAAAGCAATGCGGCGTGACTATAAAAATACCCCTTAGTGCCTTAGTGGTTAACGATTAATTAGGATTTCACACCCCAAATTATAGTAAAATAGGAATTCATAAAGAGCGTAACATGGGGTGACAGATATATATATATATAAAACGACAAAATTTTTTACACGCGATCTTTTATTAAATTCATCTATCTTAACATTTCCTTTACATAGTTGTTAAACAGCTTTTCATAATGTATAATTACGTGGTCACCGCTCATAAACCTAGTACGGTTGTCTCTTCTGTGAGGGCAAGCTTTTCTGCACACGATGAGACAAATTTGATTCTAAAGTAGGTTAAATTAGTTTCGTGTAATTTATTAAAATTGTTCTTTGCTGATATGATCTCTATTTACTCACCCCAAAAAGCAAGACAACACGTTTAGAATTCTATACTCTTGTGCCAAATGGTTTAAAGTTATTTATGGATTTACCCGTTTATGCCAGAATTTCCGCCATGGAAGTATATAGACCGCGGGTATATTATTAGACTTCCCAACTACTCGAGTTTATCATAATAAACCGCAAAAATGTTTAAAATTGATTTTTAATCGTATGCCTTAACAATTTTTTATATTGTTGTAGGGACGTACAACGGATCTTCTTTTTGTCGCAACTGCTCGATATCAATATTTCGTTCTTTCATATGATGTTGAAAATCAAAAATTAATTACTGAAGCGACGGGAAATTTTGTGAATCGAGTCGGAAAACCTGCAGAATTAGGACCACTTTCTGCAATAGATCCTAATTGTAAAATGATTGGATTGTATGCGTATCATGGTCTATTGACCGTAATGCCAATGATAACAAGTTCTGGGAAACAAAAACAGCAATTAAATAAAAGTTCTCAGCAAATCCGAAGAGATGCAAGAAATAATCAACCTATCGGAACCATTCAAAAACCATTTAATTTAAGGTTTAATAACTTCTGTTAAATTGACTGATTAAAATATACATATTTATTTATTATTTTTATGGTCTCTTATAGATTAAAGGAATTGTTGATTCGATCAATGGTTTTATTACATAATACAGATTTACCTACAATTGCTATTTTATATGAAGATTCGAAAGAACGATGTCATATCAAAACTTATACAATAAATCTTAAAGAAAAAGAATTTGTAGAAGGTCCCTGGAAACTGAATGATATTGATGATACTTCAAATTTATTAGTTTCTGTTCCTAAAGGTTAGTTGAAAGTTCGTTTTATGATGATTAATTTTTATTAAAACTCAATATATTTTCCAGGTGGATTTTTGATCGTACAATCAAAAACTATTGTATATTATGATGGTAATTTTAAGGCACGGCAAATTGATTTGGAGTTCCCAACTGCGGCAAGAGGGTAAGGTATCGTTCATATTATTTGATTTGAGCCTATTTTAATAAGTATACTTAGTAATTTTAGTATAATAAGTAAATCAATGAAATTAATATTAGATTATTATTCACAAGTTCATTTGAGTTTTGGTTGAGATTTGAATTATTATAATAATATATTTTGTGTATGGTTGTTTGTTAATCGGTTCACATCAATCTACTCGAATGAATTTGTTAATGAGATTATCGACAAACTTTACGCATTAGTTATTAAATTTTTTGGAATCATCTTTTTTATAAGAATCGCGGCTGTTGATGATGACGGATCGAGATATTTGATTGGTGATGTGTTTGGGCAACTTATTTTAATTGTATTACCTGATACAGGAGAATTATATACACACTTTCTCGGAAAGGTAAAGTTATATTGTCGTTTATGGTTAATACAATCTAAATAAATATTAATTCAATTTATTTTTAATACAGATTTCAGTCCCATCGAGCCTACTTTATCTTGATCATAGTTATGTTTTTGTTGGGTCCCATTTTGGCGATTCACAATTAATAAGATTACGACAAGATAAGAACGAACAAGGTTTTTTATTGGATATACTTGAAAAATTTATCAATTTGTCACCAATACAAGATTTTTGTATAGTAAATTTGGAACGACAGGGACAGGTATAATGTTATAAGTTTGATGATGGACTTGCTTTTATTGAAAAGAAAATCCGATTATTTAATTGTTATTGCAAATATATAGGGTCAAGTTATTACTTGTTCAGGTGGTTCAAGAGATGGATCGTTACGAATTATTCGTAATGGCGTTGGTATTACGGTTCAAGCAACGCTGGATATGTCTGGAATAAATGGTATTTGGTCTTTACGTCCACATTTTGACGCAGAGTGCGTATCAATAATTTAAGAAAGATTTTCGAAATTTATTCCTTTTAAATAAATAATAAAAATAAAACCGAACTTCTGTCATTTAGTTACGATGATATGATGGTTATCTCCTTTATTGGAGAAACGCGTATTTTAAAATTGTCACAAGGTGAAGAATTGGAAGAAGTAAACCAATATTGCGGCTTCGATATGAGTCGATCCACTATAGCGACATCCAATATAATTGGAAATTTACTCGCACAGGTGAGTTAAGAAATTTTTTGTTATCTAAAGGAAATTTCGAATTAATTCATTAAGTTTAAATTAAATATTAGGTTACTGAAACTAGTGTAAGATTGGTTGATTTAAATAATCAGAGAGTCACTTCAGAGTGGAATCCTCCGGCACTTAGTAAGATAACTGTTGCTGACATAAATCCTACTCAAGTAGTTGTAGCACTTGGAGGTGGTAGCTTAATTTATTTTGAGATAAAAGGTTTAGAGCTAGTAGAAATAAAGTGAGTGATCTTTATTAATTAATAAAGTTCATATTAAGAATAATGTTTTAACCTTTTTCTTTTTTTTTAAAAAAAAAAAATTAGATCAACGAAATTAGAATACGAAGTTTCGTGTGTTAATATTAGTCCACTAGATATAAATAATCCTATAAATTCCACGGTAGTTGCCGTGGGTCTCTGGACTATAATTGGAGTACAAATATTGAGGTTGCCTACTTTAGAAATAATAGCAAGTCAACCTCTTGAAGGAACAGCGATTACGCGTTCTGTATTGTTAACAACTTTCGAATATAACCATTATCTAATAGCAGCTTTAGGTGATGGGCAATTGTTCCATTTCATTTTCACTCCAGAAACGGGTCGGTTATCAGAGAAGAAACAACTTTCTCTTGGTACACAGCCCATAATGTTAACTTCATTCACATCCAATGGAATGAATCACGTTTTCGCTGCTTCGGATAGACCAACAGTAATTTATAGCAGCAACAAAAAATTGCTTTATTCTAATGTTAATACCAAGGTGGATAAAATTACCTTTGAATATTGTTATGTTGACAAATTTAAGTTTTTTTTTTGACTGTTTGGAATATAATTTATGATCCGTTTTCTACCTTAACTTTTATTATAAAGGATGTCACATATATGTGTCCTTTCCGACCCACACCTATGGCAACATCGTTAGTTATCACGCATGAGGAAGGTTTAACTATTGGCAGTATTGATGAAATACAAAAACTTCATATTAGGACAATACCCCTTAATGAAATGCCACGTCGTATATTTCATCAGGAATATAGTAATACTATTGGAATTTTAACAACGAGACCAGTACCTGATCCTGAAACTGGTATACAGGAACATTTATCGTTTTTCAAGGTTTTAGACGACCAGTCATTTGAATGTAAGTATGAATTTGGTTTTAGCAACAATTATTGTATTATTGTATTTAGATTTTTTTTTTTTAAAAAAAAGTTTATGATTGGTTTCAAATGTTACCACATGAGTCGGTTCATTGTCTTACATCTGTAAAATTTGATCATGAAAGAGAAGAAGCACCAGAATATTATGTTGTCGGAACTTCATTTGCTTTTCCAAATGAAACCGAATCGTTAAGAGGTAGAATTTTGATATTCCATGTGGATAAAGTTGATCACGCACCTAAATTAAAATTAGTTCATGACAAGGAAATGAGGGGTGCAGTTTTCACATGTGCGCCATTTAACGGCAAATTATTGGTCGGTGTAAACTCAACGGTAAATTATTATTTTATTTAACATTATTTTTAGTTTTGCGATAATTTATCATTTTAATAATAAATCTAATATTAGGTGATCGTTTTGGAATGGAATCCCGAAGAAGGGAAAGAAATGTTGACGGAAGTTTGCAATTATGTTAATTTTACAATGGCGTTGCATGTTGTCGCACGAGGTCATTTCGTAGTAGTCGGCGACTTACTGCGATCAGTTTCTTTGTTAGCATACAAAGAATTGGAAAAAGGCGAAAAGGTTTTAGAATTAATAGCTAACGATTATAATCAAAATTGGTTATCGGCAGTCGAAGCTCTTGATGATGATGAATTTATAGCTGCTGATACAGATCACAATCTTTTTACACTCAAGAGGAATTCAGATTCAACAGATGAGGATGAACGAAGAAAATTGGAAGAAGTGGGGGCATTTCATTTGGGTGACCTAATAAATCGGATACGACATGGTTTGGAAATTTTTTTTTTTTTTATGTACATTTTAAAACCACTGATATATTAAATATATATATATTTTAGGATCCTTGGCCATGAATAATCCTGATTTTGAACCAATCGCTTCAAAAACTTTGTTATTTGGTACAGTTTCCGGCGCCATTGGCGTCATCGCAACCATATCAGAAGATAGGTTTAAATTTTTACAAAAGTTGGAACATTGTATAGACAAGACCGTTGGCCCTATTGGTGGACTAACTCATTCCGAGTATCCTTTATTATTATTATTATTGATGAAGTCGCTGGCTGTAAAGTTTGCAATCTCAAAGGACTGCAATTTCATACTGACAAACAGCAACTTTATAATTGTTATTGTCATTTTTTTAAAAAAATTGTCTATCCTTAACTTTATGAAAAAAAAAAAAATTCAAAAAGTTGGCGAATTTTTCAGAATGAATATCGATCACGTGAAGTGCGAGATTTCATTGATGGAGACTTAATAGAATCCTTCCTAGATTTACCTCGAAAAGATATGGCGGAAATTGCTGGAACGTTAGGTAAGAAGGTAGATGATTTATTAAAGACTGTGGAGGAATATACGAGAATGCATTAAAAAGCGTGTAAACTGGTTTTTTTTTTAAAAAAAAGTGAGGGATCTGTATGTATAACATTGTAGAATTAGTTTATAATAAAAAATTTTTTTTTATGAAATTTAGTAACGTTATAGTCTAATAAAATTTAGTGTCAGCCCGCATTATCATTCATCATAACATTTCATTCTTATTGATATTTCATTATAAGGAAAACGTTTCTAAGTCCAGCTTTAGACTTTATTGAAGAAAATAGTAATTATTTTTTTTTTTCTTATTTTTTTTTAAAGAAAAAAAAGGAAAAAAAAAAATAATAAAAAAAACAAAAGCAAAAAAAAAAAAAAGAAAAAAAAATTAAAATGTACAAATTAATTATTATTATTAAAGTAAATAAATAAAAAAAAAAAAAAAAAAAAGAAAAAGAAAAAGAGAATTGAAAAAAAAAAAAATTAAAATTTAATCAATTATCTGCTTTTTCTACGATAAAATCGTAAAATGAAAAAATATATATATATATATTTTTCGAAATATATTGTTTTTTTTTTTTTTTTTTTTTTTTTTTAAAAAAAAAAAAAAAAAAGAAAAAAAACGGGGTTCGAAACGGAAAAAAGGAGGTTGGGATGATGCTCGGGGCACCAAAAAACCACAAAAAAA